TAAAGCAGTCCACATTGACTTGAACGTCTCGATCAAGAACAGTGTTACATAGCAACAGGAATCGCCACTTTTGCATGGCCAGGCCAGATCCAACCTTCTTTTACTAACCCCAACGCGGACAAGTGCTCTCCCGTGGGATGATTCTCAGCGGCAGCGTTGGGAACAGATGGCGCCGATTAACGTTTCTGTCCATGACGTTCGTTTTCTGTGGAGTCGTCGGTTTCTCTCGTGGGTGGCCGTCTGCGCGCTCCTCCGATTCAGATGCTCTTCAGCGATCAATTCTCAGTTTTGTGGTGTCTTGCAGCGTTACAACGAACTCAGTTGTAGAGCTATTTGAACACGCAACCAGACTGCGGGAAATAAATTCACCATCCCATCCCGGCATTCTGCAACCTAATTTTGGTTTATCCAGCCTCTACCCTTGCAAGACAGCTGGAACAATCGCACTCCATCATCTGTATCTACAACAGCTGGTGCTGGTAAGTACTGAACAGTGTGCAGAATGGCGATTATAGTGACTAAATGCATCCTTATTAATCGCCTAATCGGTGTTATGCAATCACCAAGTCGGACTACACGAGCAATTTAAGCGTTCATCTGCTACATTGTATGTCAAAATACCGCGCCATGTGGGGGCTGCTTACTATGTAATAACTCGATATGCAATGATGTGATTGAGATTGCGATGGGGTTTTTGGCGATGCATGCTTTTCGTTTTAGCTCATTTCATACTAGCTGCAATATAAGCATCATTGCATTTAGTTGTGCGCTGAAGTTTTGTTTATGTGTTTACAAGTCCTTTGAAAATGATGATGCTGTGTTGCCTCTTTTGTGCTGATGCCTGATGGCAGCAATACTTGACTTTTTTTACTGCATCGATATTTTTAGATTTTGCTGGCTGATCACATAGGATAGTTTATGCACATTGATTGCGGCCAGACAAATTTGAATTGTCAGTGCTACACTAAACCTGTTTGCTCTTTTAATTCATGAATAAACTAGCACCATCCAAACGTTACGCCAACAAACAACATCGAAACCAATTGAATTGGGTTGAAGCGAATTGCTGACACGTTCAGAAAATTATTTCGATACAGCTCCAGGTGTACTCGTACCCACGGGAAATCATCCTACGTTTTGTCACAACTGCAATTGGAAAACACATCACCCGTCAGTTGAATATAGGCCTATTGGCAGGCTGTGAGTCTGGTGACACTGGTCAAAATTGTGCTGTAGGTAGTAGGTACTTCACTGACTTATTTATGCATTACGCAAAGCAGTGCGATAGTCTACAAACAGTACGGCGTTTTATCATTTTTGGATTGTCTAACTCTGAGAAACAATTTAATTGCATCTTCTATATACTTTCATGGTTTCCATGATTGTCTCGGCGTCAACCAGTGAGCGCATCAATGATAATGACGAATGAGCAGAATGGTGCAACATACACATCATCATAATCAAAACACATAGGCTGATGGCCATTTCAAAATATCAGCCAGCCCAGCCAGCCTTTCCGAATCGTTCATCTCTGCAACCTTCGCAACCCGTGTTTGCATGTCATGTTAAATTTTGTTCAACAGCACGTGATGAAACGCGGTGCAATACCGCACATCGGATGGGAACAGATGGTACCAAGATTCGCTGTTGGCAGGGGCGTTCCACGACAAATCGACAAATGAAAAATTAAATTTGCACCCTCATATTTTATTTTTCGTTGAAAACTGGTGTAAGGGGTTGTGATGGGCGGGGAAGCCAGCTGTGGCAAGGATTTTTTTCTTCGAACAACGGTTTCCGAGATATAGCCTCGGGCAATTCCAGCAGGTCGCGCTGCAGCCCTATGTTTGGCGGCCTATAACTCAGAAACTATTGGTTTTCTACGATAAAAACTTTATATGGTTCAACTCACAATCAGCCAACAAACATTTTGGCTATCTCGGATTATCAATTTTTGAAAATTTTGATCACGTGACCTTTTGACCTATTTTTCGAAGAGTGACCTTGATATTTTCCCCACTGAAAGTTGCAATTTTGTCTGATGACGATTAAAGCCTTATCAATTGTCATTCATATGCGAAAATAAAAAAAGTGGATATCGCCCTGCGTTGACCTCAGGTCAGGTCATTTTTATGACCTGTCCATTATTACGAGCGGAAGCGACAGCGAGATCTCGAGAATAAAGCAAGATAGCGACAAGCGGTAAACGGTGCAGGGTACAAATGGATAAGGTCTATAATTTTTACTCAGGTCATTTTCAGGTCAGGTCAAAGATGACGTCACAGGAGCAAAAAGGAAGTCAAAATTGCGGCACTACATATATATGAAGTTTTTCTAGAATAACTTTCAAGGTATCCCAGCTAGGAACAAACTAATAGCACCATCGTGATCCCCTCGTCGATCCGCATCGAAGGATATGTATGATGACCTCGAAAGATCGAAAGGTCAAAAGTTGACCTTAGGTCACGTGACGAGCGGGAGCGACAGCGAGATCTCGAGAATAAAGCAAGATAGCGACAAGCGGTAAACGGTGCAGGGTACAAATGGATAAGGTCTATAATTTTTACTGAGGTCATTTTCAGGTCAGGTCAAAGATGACGTCACAGGAGCAAAGAGAAAGTCAAAATTGCGACACTACATATATATGAAGTTTTTCTCGAATAACTTTCAAGGTATCCCAGCTAGGAACAAACTAATATCACCATCGTGATCCTCTCGTCGATCCGCATCGAAACATATGTATGTTGACCTCGAAAGGCCGAGAGGTCAAAAGTTGACCTTAGGTCACGTGACCTAAGGTCAACTTTTGACCTTTCGACCTTTCGAGGTCAACATACATATATTTCGATGCGGATCGACGAGAGGATCACGATGGTGATATTAGTTTGTTCCTAGCTGGGATACCTTGAAAGTTATTCGAGAAAAACTTCATATATATGTAGTGTCGCAATTTTGACTTCCTCTTTGCTCCTGTGACGTCATCTTTGACCTGACCTGAAAATGACCTGAGTAAAAATTATAGACCTTATCCATTTGTACCCTGCACCGTTTACCGCTTGTCGCTATCTTGCTTTATTCTCGAGATCTCGCTGTCGCTTCCGCTCGTAATAATGGACAGGTCATAAAAATGACCTGACCTGAGGTCAACGCAGGGCGATATCCACCTTTTTTATTTTTGCATATGAATGACAATTGATAAGGCTTTAATCGTCATCAGACAAAATTGCAACTTTCAGTGGAGAAAATATCAAGGTCACTCTTCGAAAAATAGGTCAAAAGGTCACGTGATCAAAATTTTCAAAAATTGAAAATCCGAGATAGCCAAAATGTTTGATGGTTAATTGTGAGTTGAACCATTTAAAGTTTTTATCGTAGAAAACCAATAGTTTTTTAGTTATAGGCCGCCAAACATAGGGCTGCAGCGCGACATCCAGGAATTGCCCGAGGCTATATCTCGGAAACCGTTGTTCGAAGAAAAAAATCCTTGCCACAGCTGGCTTCCCCGCCCATCACAACCCATTAGACCAATTTTAGGCAAAAAATAAAACATGAGGGTGCAGGGCACTTGTCGATTTGTCGTGGAACGCCCCGGCAGACAGTTGTCATTCAAGAGCTGTTCAAGAAATGGCTCGTTGCATCAGCTGGATCCATAATCAAGTGTTGCTGAATTGTAAGCTGCGATTTCATGTTAGTTATTACCATAATTGGCTCCTAAATCTTATGCATTGTTCGTGTTTGATGCGGAAAAATATTTGTTGTTTGATAATGGGTTGTGATGATGCTTCAAGTTTCGGTTACTTTTATTGTTCTTCTTTTGCATTTAAAGTTCATGTAAACTGCATTTTTACACGTAACTAGACGCGTTTACATAGGGTTTGTTGCAAGCTTATATCTCCGTCCGTGATGTTGCAAAAGATGCCAATGGTGCTGAACAATTTACAAAATGATCCCCTCTAAATATATGAAGACCACTGCATCGAAATTATCGCCAAATTAACGAGCTAGAGCCTCGTCAAATATGCTATGTAAACCGGGTTACTATTTATGATTGCCAGCTACCAGTAGCTGTTCTTGTCACAATCTGAAGAAGTTAAAAGTAATTAAATGTAGTTCGAGATTTTATCAAATTGTATCAACCTTCAATAATATCAGTGCGTGAGGCACTCGAGCAATCATGAAATATTCAGGTTTCTACTGTTTTTTTGTGATTAATAAATGCATTCCAATGAGCGTTTTTCGAAACGTTCAAAACATTGGATCAACAATCATCCAGTAAACTTCCGTGGCAAGACAAGTTGCGCCCGTTCACGGTGGCTCTCATGCAAGCCACTTAGTAGCTCTGTGGCCAGTTTTTGTTCGTGACAGTGGCTAATCCCAGTGCGACCTCGTCATGTTTGAGGTACGATGTGGCTGTGATAAGTAGGCCATTCCATGCCACAACACGCTAGAACGAACATTATGTGGCTGTTTGATCAGGTATAATAGTGTATGCTGTGTAATTCTCCACATACAAGTGTTTTTGCGTACAGCTTTTGTTTGTGTAGGAATAAGGAAAACTATGGAGCATTCGGTGGATTTGATGCTGTTTTATTTGACTTTCAAAGCTAGGTAGCGCAAAGCCAGGTTTTCAACGTTGGAAAGAGAACAGAAACTGAGTTGTTGAATGAGGACAGAAACGCCTGTGCTCGTCGTGTCTTGGAATATCCCTTCCTCATCCGACACCGCAGATCACGAATGTCACGGATTCAAAATTCCCATCTTTTCATCATCATCTCTCCCTCCCTCCCTCCCTCCCTCCCCCTCCCTCCCCCTCTCGTGTCGCCATTTCACTCTTTACGTGTCTCTCGCGAACTGAATGATCTTCTTCTCGCCTATCTCACATCTCGCGAGCTCACTGACCGAGCTGTGTCCGCAGTGATGCAGCCTCGCTTTTACCGGCTCCTGCTCCGCCCGTGGCTACTGAAGCGTGCAGTGGACGTATATAACCCACGCTCATGATGTGTGCGCCAGTTTAGTCTCAGCTGCGCCGTGAACGTCCGCGGCGCGCCGTGAGTGTCCGTGCCGCGCCGTGACCGTTAGTGCAACTGCAGAGCTGTTTGTGGAGGATTTTTGGAACGCAATGAGGAGCACAGGATGCGTGGTAAGTAATAAAGTGTGAATTTGGTCAGTATTTAGTGGTGTTGGGGATGATTGATGATAGATAATGTAGTTGAGGTAATACTGAGGATATAGTGGGAAACACCAACCTGTGTTCGATAATTTGCCTGGATAAACTGGTTACAAAATGTTTGTCTCATTTGATGAAATCGATTCAGTAAGCACTCTATTATCTTGGATTACTACTCAATACTCATGCTTTTCACGTGCCCTTTCCTTTCTAAAAACATTTGATCGTGTGCCTTGACCGTGGTTATTATCGCGCGATTTAATGAGATCATGGATCATAGATAGTCTGCTCTTGATAACGAATGGCCACAAGTGCTTGGATGAAAAGTGCACGTGAAAATTTATGAAGTTTACTCTAACTTGCTCCTTTTTTCCTTGTACTGATATGTTTGTCTATTCATGTTTATGCTTGTCACGTGCCACATTTACTAATGGACTTGAAGGAAGGACGTGAAGCAGTCCGCATTAATTTGAAAGAAAACCTTCATTTTTTCGTGCTGTTGCCAAATACTTGCTACAACTTGCAGTCGTTCAAACCAGACTGATGTCAAATAGCAAAAAAACAACAACAACAACAACTAACAATCAGACATGTGCATGGATCCAAGCGATGGATCTATGATCTCAGTGGATCTCGAAACAATCTGCAGTTTAGGATCTATGATCCTATCGGATCCGGCGTGAAAAATTTACATTGGAGCTATGATCTCATACGATCAGATAATAAGTCAAGAACATGGATCTATGATCTGAGTGGATCCCACCAAGCACAGCATTTGAAACCATGTTTTAAAGGGTTTCTATGTCATTACGTGCAACAAAACTATTACGATAGGCGTTATCACAAGTGTATTCGCGGCCATTGGGGCGACGTAAGAAAAGAAGAAAACAACTGGCCCCAAGAACTTTAATTTATCAGTTAGCATGCATCTTTTCCTTGATCTGTAGAGAATTTACCATTAATTGCTAGATAAAATTGCATTTAAAATCTTCCATCTATGTTTTTTTCATCGTTTGCACAATATGTTCTTTTATTAATCTAGAAACACTAATTAGAAATAGTTCCCGCATCATCAAGAACAATAGGGAAGGCTTGAAGTGAATACAATAATCTAAACGGTGTTGTAATCAATGTGAAGACACTTCTAAAATTGCCTGTAGAAATATTGAAGGCAAAAGTTCAACTTTTTCACAAGATGGATGTCTATAAACCTATTCAACGTGTGACAACTCAGCCGGTATTTCGTCGCCTACAGCCCAGCTTTCCCTAGTGACCGATAGAGGCGCTGCTATCGATGTCCGCCCGTGCCGCCTAACGAATTATGGCGTGCAATCACATAAAATCACTCAAACAGAACGTTTGTGAGTTGCAACAAGCGTTTGGGGGGGGGGGATTTCTGTGTTGACAAAAGTAAGTGAGGATCTATGATCTCACTGGATCTCAAGCAAAAAATTATAATCGGATCTGTGACCCCTATGGATCTCTCGATAAATTAGAGAGCTGGATCTATGATCCCGTCGGATCCGAGATCAAAATCCGTGGGATCAGATCCAACATCCATTTTCTTGGATCCATGCACATGTCTGCTTACAATTGATAAATATTTTCCCATTGATTTCATGTAGAAGGATCCAATAAGAGTACAATATGTTTTGTTCGTTTCGTGTTGGAAGGTACATGGAAGGTAATAGGTACAAAAGGTAAAAGGTACATGGAAGTTGGAAGGTTGGAAGGTAATTGCTTATTGGGCAATAGCTTATTGAGCAAAGAATTTCAAACTTCAAGGAATGGAAAACTATTGCCATTCGTTTAAGTTTTTTTTCAAACTAGCGTCTATTGAGGAATCCCCCAAGCAAGCACATTCTGTGATTTGAACATTTTCTGAGTTACGCGTGTAACAAAAAAGTGGCTCCGGGACCGGTAACAAAAACATTGCCCGTGTATAACGACTGAGCGGAAATGTAAACTACACGATAACGTGGTAGGGTACCTCAAGAACCATTCTGATAATTATTTGAGCTTTTGAGTGGAAACGAATCTTTTAAGCGCAAAGTTGTCCTGTTTGCTGAGCAAGCAAGTTACAATGTGCATTGAATAGCTTCTGAGACGGTGAAATGTCACGTTTGTTTTCGTACGTTGTTTTTGACATTTAAAAGCATGCGTTGTTCGCTATGTTTTAAAATAAATAATTTAGGCCTCAGTGATTACGGAGCGAGCGAAGCGAGCGGAGTCTCATACTGAATTAAGGGAAAATCCTGAGTATGAGCGGCCGGCCGGCCGGCTGGCCGTGGGGACACTCTTCAAAAGCTAATATCTTAGGAACGGGACATCCGATTGACAAGCGGTCTTCTTTACTGAATGTCACTTGGACGTAAAAGTTCTGTGGTGTGATGGCCACCATGCGTTCTTGCCAACCACCGCACGTGGCGCGTGGTAAAGTTGGACATTTTTTAAGAACCCCCAAAATTGCAACCTCAATAACGGCACAACGGTTGGGCCGATTGAATTGAAACTCGGTACACAGTTAGGTCTCCATCAGATAATTCATCTGCATGTGTTAAGGTTGGGGTGCTACAGCACGTGCGCACGTGCAGGGGGCGCTCCCAGATCTCGAGAACGGCTGGGCCGATTGCGCTCAAATTTGGTACACGGTTGGGGACCAGTTAGTAGGGTGCCGTGCAAAAGTCAGTTTGGACCCGGCTTGCACGTGCGCACGTGCAGTGTGCCGCTTCCAGATCTCGAGAACGGCTGGGCCGATTGCGCTGAAATTTGGCACATCGCTAAAGACCGGTTAGTAGGGTGCAGTGCACAAGTTAGTTGGAGGTACCCCCTCGCAATTTCGCACGTGCAAGGCCCATCCTCTCGCTCGCTCCGTTGGTCGCCCAAAAGGCGTTTTACTGGTTTAGTTTTTTATTTGAAACTTGTATTTTATAATCGTCGCGTTTTAGATGCCTAAATGAACTTTTCTTTCATAATCAATAAGGCTCTAGTTGAATTATTATGTGGGTGTATCGGTCGTATATTTTTGTCTAACAGCCTCCCACTGCATTTCAGGTGCTGTTTGTTTTGTTCATCTCACTGAACGGCATTGATGCCGAGCAAAGTAAGTAAAACGTGAATGGTTTTGATGCTACATCGGGTTAGGTATTGCTAATTGCCACATACCTTTCCAAAACTGAACTAGGGAGGGAGTGCATTCCCAACATTCTGTGCTTGACCGATCAAAATTTAACGCTGACAGCAGGGATTATTGTCACGCAGATCTAGCAACGAAGAAAAAACATGAAAACGTTTTCATAATAGCTTGTTTCAAACACATAGGTGGCTTCTTGGCTTGTCACCAGAATTGGCAACAGTAATTTGTGGCCGAGTCTCTTAAAGATTTTATTGCCGTTTGTGGTCATATGTTCACGTCACCGAGGTTCGTCGAAAAAAAAAAATAATGTTCTTATTCGGCTCATTCCTTCAAGGGAACGCTTACCGTCCAGACTGACCAAAGCGATTGTTCAAGTCTTTATTTTCCCACGTTCTTGGGATGATATGAACGAAGCTCGCCCATAACCAAAGCCAACGTTTCTTCTCCTATATAGGGCCTTGCTTCTCCTCTCGATCTTCTGTCCGTTGATCTCTCCATATGGCTTGTCAGTTTCGCCGTCGAACTCACGACAAATATCTCTTGTGCTGCTGCACGTGCTCTTTGGACGCAAACTCTCCTCTGTGACAGATGTTTCGGTAGCCAGTCACGATTCGCTCCGACAATGGTGATAAGTCGCACCGACTTTTGCTGAGTCAGAGTCGATCACAGCCGTAACTGAGCCGTTATGGGAGTCGTCGTGGGAGCCGTGACGCTAACCGTGACGCTAACCGTGGCTAACCGTGACGAATGAGGGGATTCTCCGAAAGATGCAGCTTACAGTAGAATAGTCTTATGTGAATCACAGAGTGGCTCGTTTTTGGTGTGTTTGGCTCTTCTTGGAATCGCTTTTTTTTCTTAAGGGGGGATTAGGTGCACACCTTGATCTGTTGTATGTGAAAGCTCACTCAGAACGTGTAGTGAGTGTTTTGATGGATATCTCGCAAAGAAATATAAAATGGCAAAGAAATGTTCACCCGATCCAGCTGTTGTGTAGGAAAACATTCATTTGAGAAAATGCTTTTTCAACTTCATCGAGCAAACGTTCTATGAAACAGGAAGGTTTTCAGTTACTTTGCATTCCTTTTTTCACGGTATTGATATATTTACGCCACAGTGTGTTCAGTGACCTGAAAGTGATGGCAGATACCATGAACTCTGGCTTAGGTAGTTAGTTTGATTTCTGTCACGAGGTCAATGCTAGTTGCATGACAATGCGAGCACGGTACCTGTGGCATTCAAACTAATCACTGCACGCATAATAGACCATAGCGATTGTGGTGAGAGCAGAACTATCTTGAGAAATACCGACTATTTTTTCTCACATTACGCAATGCACCAATGAGCTGCGGTCATAAACAGGTTTCACCACAGCAGTCCGATTCGCAACAATGCACATGCATGTGTCACCGCAGAACGAAAAATTGAAGCCCTCATGTCTCGGTTCCTTTCTTCTCAATTACCGTCATCCAATTACCGTTTTAGCGTCATGACTTCAATGTTCGATGCAATCTATCTTCGGGTAACTAGTGCGTAGCTGACATAAAAAGATTAAGTTTCATGTTTCGCATCGTTCCTTACGATGCACATGCCCCTTTCGATTATTATACGGTTCATGGCGCGCGTATGGTAGCGTCCCGCGAAGAGACGGTATGATACTATAACAGTTCTGACACGCATAGCTTTATGCAGGTTTCTTGGCATAATTTGACTTCCACTTTCTACACTAGGTGTGCTCTAGAAAACTTGATTCGCTTATAGCATTGTCGTATGTTCGCCATAAGCCTGTGCCATCAGTCTGTGCGAGTACATTTGAATCTTCAGTGATGACAAAGTTTTATGTTCAAAAGTTTTAAGTTTTAATTTTATGTAAAGTTTTATGTACACAATGCTGCATAGGCGTAGGAACAGGGGGGGGCCGGGGGGGCCATGGCCATGGCCCCCCCACTTTCGGAGGTGGGGGGGGCCAGCAATGTTAACTGCCCCCCCCCCACTTTTTGCTGACATTAAGTGTCTGTCTGTACTTAGGTACCAGTGCTACCACCCGGTAACTTGACAACAATTCAGCTTGCCCTTTAATGAAGATTCCCTTTTGTTTCTACAGCGTTATTGACCGCAATTTCCTTCACTCAATGAAGGAAACCATATCAGAGACAAGTCTGTGGGTCCTGGTGACAGCATTTTGTTGAATACGAGGCACGGGACAGCGAGCACTGAAAAGGTATAAAACAATACTAGCACGGTGCAGGAGAATGCGTATACAAACGACCAACGCTTGACCGGATCTGCTTGGGGTCGGCATAGTTCGTCAAAGGCGTACTAGCTGGGGGCCAGGGTGACCATGCCCCCGCCTCGGCTCAAACAGGCTGGGAGCCAGCAATGTCTGTATCTGCCCCTTCCCTTCCACTTTCAGTGCAGTGGCGGTCGCAGAGGGGGGATCAGGGCCATGCCCTTCCCCCCTCCAAAGGCTAATCAGGGGGCCATCATATCATTTGCCCCTCCCCCAAACAACCAATGGGCCCCCATGGGCGTATGGGGCTCTGGCCCTTATTCGATTGTCACGAGGCTCAAGAATCCCACGCTAGCTATTAACTCCCAAGCCAGTCTTTGAGGGTCCTACAATGATCTTGGAGGGCACATCAGTGGCGGTCAAGCGCCGACATTGACCGCTGAGAACCCACATTGACCTCATTTGAGGGCCCCTAAACCGGCCTCAAGGGCCCAGTCGGCGTCTGAGGGCCTCACACCGGCCTCTGGTGGCCTCATTTCTGTCTCTGGGATCCCAAGACTAACCTTTAGGTGCCTCTGAGGGTCCTGCACTGAATTCTGATTTCTGAAGACCCGATGCCGGCCTCTAAGGTCCGCATCGGCCTCTGAAGGTCCATCTTGGCCTTAGAGGTCCAACGCCGGCCCATGCCGGCATTTTAGGGTCCCACACTGACCTCTGAGGGCCCATGCTGGCCTGTAAGGGCCCACATTAGCCTCTGCTGGCCCAAGGCCAAGTCGGCATCTAAATGTCTCATCCTGCCCTTTGCAGGCCCTGTACTGGTCTCTGAGGGCCTCAACCCTCACCGGCCGATGGGGGGGGGGCGGGTGCCGCCCCTCCATAGTTTTTTTTTTGCGATAGCTCCGAACACGCCGGTGATAGAGAGCTGAAGCTTTGCATACCTGACCTTTGAATCAAGTCGGATCTTTTGACACCAACCGCATTTTCGGGTCAGATCAGGTCACTGACCCATGAGGTCATAAGTGAACCTCTGCACGGTCTTCAGATGTCGCAACTTCGCAACGCCCTCACTGCCAGAGGAGATTTCACAGGGAAATGAACCTTGGAGGACCTAGTATCCATTAGGAGTCTCACAACTTGTACATCTCGGATTTTTCCTAAGGTCATTTTCGTGACCTCACCATTAGGTATAAGTCAATGGGGATAGACCGAAAACTTTTTCTGGCGCCGTAAACGATCTTCAACTATCTCAAGCACACTGAATCTTTCATGCACTCCTTGCAAGGTTCGATGCGTCACTTTTGCAATGTTGACCTTGCGCGACGTCATTTATGAAGTTATAAGGGTCATATAAGTTTGTCGTCAATAACTACCGATCAAATTAAGCTAGCGAGTCGGGGAAGCCATCAATGGACTCAAGAAGACCTGCCGAATCGAATGATATGCGACATGACCTCCTTCGACCAATTTTGTGACCTGGGGGCGCTGACCTGACCGTGACCCGTGGTCAACACCCTCAGTTTACCTCACCCAAACAAAAAGTACATCATTCGACGCGCCTGAGAGAGGCGAACACGATGCTGGCAAAATCGCGGCTCTGCGGCCGTTTTTTGCGAAGTTATTCACCAAAAACGGAACCGTGCCTTGAGGCACTTGACCTGACCTCAGAGGTCACCGGTTGACCTAGAACCTTAAAATCGGGTATCGATCTCTGCGTCTTGTAACGGCGCACACGCTCATTTTTCCGCGACGCGCTAGCTCAACCTGGGGCGCAACGGCGAGGGTGTCGTACCCGCCCCCCGCCCCCTCGGCCGGCGCGTATGTAGAAAACCTATAGGTCCGGTCCGGCGAGGGTTAAACTGGCCTCTGATGGCCCAGACCGACCTCTAAAAGTCCCACACCGGCCTCTGATAGTCAATCAGCCCAGTTGCAGTGGTCGCTGATATAAAACCTCTTAAAAACGTTATAGGTCTGGCTGAGCCTAGCTGGGCCGTTCATGCTGATTTTTATATGTACCTATATTGAAAAGACTCGCTTTGCACGTTTCACGCTTGCTCGTAATAAAAAAGTTGCTGGATGCCTCTGGAATTTGCATGGGTGCCAACGGCTGCGGAGGACAGGGAACGCGTCCATCAGTTTGAGTTTATGGACGGAAGTCTCCCTGAAATTTTAACCAATTTTGTTTTTGTTTTTGTCTCGATTTTTCTTATCTCTGATCATGTTTGCGAAAACAAAGTGGCCGAAATCCGAGGAGATATCGGATTTTGGGGGTAGGTTAGGTTTTGGACCTCTGGGACCTTGCCCCCCCCCCCCCACTTTCGAAAACGTTCCTACGCCTATGCAATGCTGCCGTATTTCGATGCAAACTCATAATGAACTAGATCAGACATTGAACCCATTGAAACCATGACTTCAACAAATCCATCCTATCTGCTGCTGATACAGTTTCAAGCTCTTGCTGACCATACAACTCTCCAGACTTGATGTAACAGCATTATGTAACACAGTTTGATGGTCTGTTACTCTCGCCGTATGGTGTTACATGAGTTTTTATTGACAGGAGCAGCAATCTAGAAGTCCGCCACTGATCGACGGGTCATCAACTCATATCTCAATCTAAATGGTCGGAACTTCCATTTTCTCTTCTGATTGTTCACTTTCGCTTTCACCCCGCATCAGAAAGACAGGCCAATACACTACGATGCATGGGGTGAGACCGTTTGAGGCCTCCTTGACGGTCTAG